TCAACTGGTTCAGTTAAAATTGAACACATTCCTGGGCTACGCATGTCCTTACTTAACAAGGATGTAACCAACCAACACACAGCTGGCCAGTCACGACAAGTGTCTAGCTCATGTTGGTGTCGCTGCAGGATCAAATAACTTGTACCTGTATGGTCAAACGTCTGCATTAAAGCAGAGATCCATTGCTGGGGAGCAATATCATTCGTCTCCAGCATGACCGTAAACGCATTAAGCGTACGGGTTAGCGTGTCGAGGTCATGTGTGTTTATAAACTCGACCTGCTTACTGTTGGCATCCCAGTTCGACTTAAGTCGACTGATCTGTCCTTTGTACTTTTGGTTATCCCTGTGGTCTTGTCCACGTTGGGCCTGAAGTAGCTGATCGATGCGCTTTTGCTTAATCGCAATCATAATAGCAAAATATACTACATCCTCAGCATGATGCGCATCGTGGGCGATTTCCATTTTAATGGCAAAATCGTCGACCGATTTGTTAAGTTCGGTCACCTCGTCAGAGTGAAAATCCTCTGCGGGTTGATGTAGTGCTGTGCGATCGAAGCGATTAAATTCGACTTCGTTAACACGTTTACGGGGGTGTTTATTACCCCTTGTAAAGTCCATGGTCGAGGCCTTTCGGTGCTCTGTTCCTCGGATAGTGGTTGGTATTATAATCTTGGGTGATTCATGCGTCTGGATAACATACCCAGTCTTCACTGGTTTCCGACGATTGTCATCCCAATTGGGTAAATGTGGCGGAGTATTTCTACCTGCCTCTGGGTCTATAGTATCCTCAAGGACAGGTGACTCACGGCCGGGTGTCAGAACAGGCGAGTAATTAGCCTGAAGTTCTGGTGGTAGTACCTCGTAAGCTCATATGCCACAGGTGTAGCGCTCGAGGCTTTACGTTCGTCGGGCGTAATTGCCTGTCGACGTTCTGTCCACTTCTGTAGGGCTTCAGTAATGCCCGGAGAAACATGCTCGCGTAAATGCTGTGTAGGTTTTCCTGATCTATACAATCGATCTATATGTTCAACAGTCAAGTCTTTCATACGGGTAGCTAACTGATTCTTAAGATCAGTGTTTCCAGTAATTAACTTACTTATGCGCGTTAGCTTAGTAGTCTCGGACGTAGATTCGGGTTTGTCACTTGAGCTTGCCTCCTCTTCTGGTTCCATTATAGGTTCCTTCTGAGATTTGTCCTTGTCCCCTATAATTGGGGACTCCCTTATAATTGTGAACTTTTCTTTCTGGGGTTCGTCAGAAGAATGGGTTGGGGCGTCTTGAGGCGTGTCCTTTGTCTCACTTCTTGACTTCGTAAATGCCAGCTTTGAAGTTGAGGCAGTAGTTGGCCTCGGGCTCTGTCAGTGGGAGTAGTCTCCTTAATCGGAGTGGCTACATCCTTATCTGAAGCAATGTCCTGTTGACTATTATTGTCGGAGGCAAGTGCTTCGGCTACAGTGCGGTTAAACGCATCAGCAGCGGCAGCGGTTTCTCTCTCCATCTTCTTCTTTTCAGCTCTACGCTTCTAAGAAGGAGTATTGTCTTTCTTGGTCACAATCTTAACTTATGACTGCTAGCGGATCTCTTAAGGACTAGCTTGGACAAGAAAAAATATTTGTGGTAGTTGATCTACCTTGACGCTTAAGTAGTCTAAGTAATTAATACCTTTGATAACTTTGAAATGTGTAAGATTCGGTCTATTAAGGCGATATTAACGCCTTAGAGTAAATAACCGTGTAGGTAAATTCTAAGTATCGTGAAAATATCAAAGTAAATAAACGAAATGAGACTTTTAGTAAAGTTAGGTATGCCTCGTGAAAACAGTAATAATCTGAGGGATTGTGAGGCTGAGACATTGCCTATATATAATCCTCTCAGTACTGTTTCCACCGAAGGGATTTTATTTAAAGTTTCGTTGTCGCTCTATTAGAAACTATGGTATGTTTCATTAGGGCAAATCTGAGAGACTCGTAAAATCCTATCTTTAGAAAATAAATAAAAATAAAAATAAACTCTTGATGTCCTTAGTTATTGTCTGAACCAATAACTTGCCACTTATCAAGAATTACCGACTTAGCCTTCATCAGACTGGCACATCTGGTTGGCTGATCGGAGGATCAGCTAGGTAACGTTAATAGTCCCTAGAAACCTATATTCGGTTGAGCCATCTCGCTACCGAAGTATTCAGATACAAATAAAGTTGGAAAGTAAATATAGTTCTATTAATAGAACTAGACCAACTCTTATGTTTGGTGTTTTACTAGGGCCTTTTAATGGCCTCGTCCAAATATCTGATATGTAAAATGGAAAAGGTATTAATTAATAAAATCATTAAGGAAACTTAAGTTCCTTGTACTATTAAGAGTACGTTTTTAGTATACGTACTGCTTAAGAGTACGTTTATAACATAGAGTCTAATGTGGAGGCCCGGCTATTACACTGGTGGTACTTGTGCTCGGCAACAGTTACACGTCGCTGGGTTAGTTGTTGGAGTCGGGCGTTGTTGCCATTGTTGTTGCTGATGCTGTACCATGTGCGGGCTAGGTCTACTATTCGCTGTCTCCCCCCGGGCTGTGTCCCGATTATGATCTCGACGGTTGACTAGCCGTTAAGTCGAACGAATCTGAACCTCCTGGATATCAGGACTTAGCAACTGGAGTAATTCATGGGTCTCCATGAGCTGCCACTTCGGGTGTAACTGCAACGTACGCTCATATGTACGGGATCGTAAGGTGTCTTCCAACAACTGCACTATACAATGGTTAAGCAAGTTCTGCTTAAAATCTGCATCGGTCTGACAACGCTCGTGTGCACGGCGATGATTCTCCATACGGCAATTAATCTGTTCCATCTATGGAACATTACTAAGCTTAAGGTGCCCCTTTGCCAGTTTCCGGAATGTTGGGTCCACTGTGGCCTGTGGCTCGTGTGAACAGATTTGTGTTATCTGTAGTTCTGGTGTCCATGCAACTAAACGTTGGTGATTAGATTTTATATAATCGAGCGTAGATTGCTCGGCTTAAAAATGACTCAACACCTTGTAATACCAACGAAGACTCCATGCTTCATCTAGACCCAAAATCTGCGCATTCTTAAGGGCTTCGCGTAATGCCCCTTTAGTGTCGCGCTCCATAATATTGCTGAGGTTGTACCGGTTAGAGGGCCACTCCGGCCAACTACGCGGGTTCCTGCTTGTTCGCTGGTCGTGAGTCGTGAGTTGCTCTTAATTTCTCGAGCCCACCCCTTAGTGCCTCCGCTCGTGGTAAGTTGTTCGCTTCCACTGCACTACATAATTCCTTCGACAGCTTGAGCATCCGCGCGTGCAAGGCTTGGCGGTCTGCAGCTATGCTGTCTGGTGTAGGATGTGTGACCTGCTGAGCCAAGCGCCGACGCTTCTCTCAAGCAGCCTGTGTGACGGGAGACTGACTTCCATAGCTTCTCGTACAAACTGTTGGCCCTGACGTTGTGCTTGTAAAGACGTGTCCATGTTGTTACGACGATTGTCCAGTGCCTCCCTGCCGTGAGGGTACTATGTGGCCCTATGTTGTTCCTTTGCAAAACTTTGAAGTGACATCGTCTCCTGTTGTGTATCACCATCGTTCTGATCCGACGATGTATACCCTAACCCGTGACGGGCGTCGTCGGTCCCTCTAATGCGGAACTCGAGGCTGTCCGGTGATGAGGGTGTGTTTGCTCGTTGTAGTCGTTGCAAACGCCGTTCATATTTCTCCAATAGCGATTGCTGTCGTCGAAGTAGGCTCATCATTTGTTCTGGCGTGTCGTCGTCTCTACTTCGACTGTGTCGTCTCCCTTTAGCATAATAACGAGGACGCTTACTTGCGACAGCTCTTGATGCCTCTCGAGGAGTTGTCCCCTCTTGGTAGTGAGCCTTTTGGTTCGTCGTTCACGATCCGTGAAGTCCACATCACTCGGAGTGGTTATTCACCCATCGCGTTGCTGTTGTGCTGCTAGCGTCCGCTGAAGTATTGTTCGGTTAGTTTGATGTTCTGTCTCTAAGTTGACCGACAAATCTCCGCCCGTGTCTACTCGTTCCTGAGTCCGTCGTCGAAAACCTCGCTGATGGATGTCATCCCGTTCACGTTGTTCTAGGGATAGATGTTGTTGCCGACGACTCTGTCGAATGTTAGCCATGGTAGAAGTAGTCTTATATTTGTCTATTGATAACAATGGGATGCTTCAACTGCTTCTCCTTTGACTTAAATAGTCATTCACCTGCGATCCCCACGCCTACTGATTAATTGAAGTCACGTTAACCATTCTCCCATCGACATGTTCTTGCTCCAAACTATGGGTCTTGGTGCAATGACATCGTTCTCCGTAAACCTCTTGCTCCAAACTACCCCGATTCTCGTCGCGGTTGCTTTTTACTCCTCCGACCAACTCCGTACTCTCGAATCTCATGCCATTACTCGCTCTGTGGCTTCTTACTCTTCATGTTCTTGTTCCATCGCTCCGTACACGTGTCTTTTCGCTACCGACGTTCATTCGTTCCTCTTTCGACTTTGACCCTAACTAGTTGGCTAGTCGTGCTTTCTACACCCGCCGTCGCTTTGTCTTGGTACTGCTCGCCATCACACGAACACTTGTCTACAGTAACTCATACGGGTTATTCATACTCACATTGACATTGATGAATTTGATCGGACCATTCATATGCACATTTACGTTGCTCACTCACTCGTGTACCTGTTCTAGTACTGAATACACACACCCTATTGTTCTCTATACCGTTGTATCACTCCTATTGTGTTTGTACCTTTCATCTTATGTACAAGAAATTTGCTATATGATTGTTATTCGTTGGTGTGATTGTCATTGCATGTACATCATACTTTGGTGTCTACGTGCGTATGTTATTTCTTTGTAGTCCCATGTCTTCTACTGAAGAATTGTTTAGTTTACACCTGTTTACTTGAGTATATATCCCACATCATCCTTCTCCCTCATATAACTGTACACTCTTACGTACCTTTTGGTTGCCTGTACATACGTGTACCTTGTTGCCATGGTGATGTTCAAACATATACACCTACATGATATCCTTTACGTGTTTCTTGACCTCCTGCTACCGTCTACTGTTCTTCCAAGTCCTCCTTATCTTTCTTGATTTGAATCGACTCCTGCTCCGGTATCGGTTCCCATGACGTTGTGTGTTTCTCTTGACGCGGCATAGTTCGGAGAGTCCATGTCGATGTGAACGATTGATTTCCATTATCTTGTTCCAACACAGCATTTTCTCTGTTCCGATTCTCTGTGGGTGTCTCCTGACTATTAACTTATATGTCCTCTAGTCGTTCTACTCTCTCGTTCAAACTGTCTACCTGTCGATGTACATGTGTTCGTAGTCTACGGTTGAGTCGACCCACACGGCTCGCATGCCCTTGTATTCTTACGGTTCCCTTAGTCATTTCGTACTCTGAAGCACTACTGCTGGTTGGTAGAAGTGCTGGCATGCTATCGATTGGATCGCTACTAATAAAACCACTATCCGTGTCATTTAACAATGGTAGGTTCGCACTGGGAACCATCATATACCTACTGATGCCTGGAACTTTCTCTCTTCTTTGTGTCATAAATGTTTTTTACTCCCACATAGGAACCCTTCGGTCCTACTATCTTCTTTTCATATCTAGGATAAGCTCAATTAATGTACAACATCCAAGTCAGTTACAAATGTAGTAAGTAGTCAAAGACAACTGTATCTTAACGTACTCCCCTCGTACAAGGGGAGACATTGTTCTTTTATTGAACTAAAATCCTATGACAATCATTTTGTCATGTGTTTTCCGTTAATTAGTTTTAGCCTGATTGGATAAACCCGGTTCAAAATGTCTCTAATAAAACCCAAATATCAAATAAACCCTAATCCTAAATATGCCCTATCAGGGACTTCCTGACTACAGTGTCATGGCAACTGTTCAAGACTTGAAAGACGAACCCGTACGTGGTCAATATTTGGTAACGTTGAAGTCTAATGGTACGTCTAATGATTTTGTTTTGTTTTGCGTTGACAAGCATGTTAATAGCCAGCCACTACTGTAGGCAGAATTGACATTAATGAACGTTTTATTTCACACACTCTAGGTGTATCGGTTTACGCATGCTTACGACGAGAAGCGTTGGGAATGCTATGTGTACACGGAGGCAGAACTCTGATAACATTAGCCTTGTACCACTCCCGGGGGTATGATAAATTCAAAGAAAAGCACAACCTACAAGATCATAAATGGTAAGCCACTTGGGTTTACTGGTCTCACTTATATGTATATATAAGATCCGATCCAATGTATGTAAATTTGAACGCCTATACTCAATAGCTCAATAACTGCTAAACAAATTCCACTATATTTCCACCATTGTTTTAAATATTCAGGTACAGCCCTGTATTTCATGTCAAGACATACGTGAAGCAGTCTTCGGAGACTCTTCAAATTCCAAATGAACTCGACATCGAGAGCAAGTAATGTCAGGTATATCCTCCAATCACTCCTGGTCACCGAGGACGTAAAAAGGGTCGACGTGCCAGGAATCGACGTGAATACAAGCACAAAGGAAATCCACGAATATGCAAAATCTGTTCTGCGAAGTATCACACTGCCAAGACTTGTACATCGTCAGAACTCCGCAAATACTTGGCAAATCACAAAGTGACCGCTCTCATCAGTGCGTTCCCGTTGCCGTAAAGTATCTACAATGTACGTCGGCACTAAAGAATAAAGAAAGAAATTAATTCGCATGTGAAAAACTTGTATATGAACTCTATAACAAGTCTATTCAACCCGCCCCTCAAAATCAACTATTTACTACCATAAAATAATGTGATTTCACTAATCACTAAACCTAAAAAATATGGTAGGGTTTGAGGATATATCTGCTAAGTGATCGTCATAAATACGTACTGCCGTAAACGC